ATGCAGTGGCTGCACCTGGGCTGCATGCAGTAAGGCCGTGATATCAAATCGTCTCGCACAATTGCACATTCCAGAAAGGTTCCATAGAGAATAAATTCGCTGTAAATGTAGTTTGGTGTGAAACATTTTCTTAAATCCAATGATCTGAAATTAAACACATTTTTCAAGAAATGTGGTGATGTGATTGTGTAGCTGCCATTAATAAACTGAACCTGGAAGATTGTGGAGAGCAAAGGGAAGACTAGAAGGCAGTAGGCATCAGTTGGACAACGTCCATGGATTAGGCGCACTGTAGAATTTGAGGTTGGTTGGGTGCGGTGCTTGCTGTGGCTAAACAGTCCAAATTTGAGATTTATATGGGCCGGGTTGTTCGGAAGCCGGTTAACGCTAGCCTGGGATTAACAGTTAACCACAGTGTAAATTTTTCTTGTATAATTTTTTTTTTCACTGCTTATGTTTTGTCTAGTTTGAGATTATTCAGACTCAAAACAAAAGGCCAAACAATTGAAACAGAAAACCTCACCGCAAAGTTACAAAACTCAAATCAAAATTCTCTCTTATCCTGGGTTAGCTTAATCGGGCTTTGAACAACCCGGCCATGGCCCCGGTCCTGGTAGACGAACTGTGCCTTGTGTAGGGTTATTGAGATCTTGCAACTGACCTTCATCGCTCGTCTCCCTCTTACAAGGGACGTGCGGAATACTGGTTAACCAACCAGTACCTCGCACGTCCCTGCGTCGGAATTCGTGTACCTTTTGTACATATCTTCAAGGCCCCGTCAACACTACGCCGGAGAAATTTGAAAACGTAGGTTTCACTCTGAAAGCGCATCAAATGTTTTCCATCCACACCACGCCGGAGAAATTTGAAAACCCAGCAATCACCGGTCATTTTGGATTTGTATTTAAGAAAAACTCGGGCAGGAATATTAAATGATTTTCGTGGCGAAAAGCTACGTTTGCAAAATGTTTTCTATCCCCACTAAAGCGCAAAGCCAGCGTTTTCAAATTCCTCCAGTTTGAAAAGCGCTTTGGAAAAGCTCCGTTTTCGTGACGGACTAGTGTGGAAGGTAGGCCTAACCGTAGAAATAAAGCTCCGTTTTCAAATTTCTCCGGCGTAGAGTGGACGGGCCTTAAAATGTAGTTTCTAATCGTTTCCCTAAGAGGTCTGTAGGGATAAGATCGTCATTCATCCGGCTTCGGACGTCATTGAGTCCGCGGAGCCGGTGTTGATGAAGCGGCGTATACATGATAGTGACCTGCTTTACTGAGGTTGTTGGCCTTTGTTCTTCACTGTTATCCCGAGGATGCGGGATAACATGTCCAGGTCGTCAGCAGTCAGCAGTTTAGGTCTCACCGCCACAGAGTAGCATGCTGACAATTCCTGCGCTGTACACAGCTTTCTTAGTTAGGGGAGAAAAACTAGTTAGATTAAAAGATCTCCAAGTTTATCAATTTTCTCCAATCCTCCTACAGCCTTTTTTCTCTTGGCCCGGCTAGTAGCGATATAAAGTGTTCCCTATAGACGCAATAAGACGTGCTCTGGACACAAACCATTAATTTTTTGCTAGCATTTTTATTAGTAAAAAACGTCTCCATCTCTTCACGAGTCTTCTTTACGAAAGAAAATTTATCCTCTTCAGTACGCTATAGCTGCTGGTTCAACCGTAGAGTTGAACTTCACCCAAAACGATTTCCTGATCCTCCCCGAAGTGTTGAAACACATAAAAGACGATAGCTAGGTAAGATTTTTAGCATTTTTATTCACTTAACCTAAAGTTGAAAAGAGATTCTTTTTATCGAATGTCAGATTTCGTTAACAAATTAGCCGTGAGTTTACAGTGCAGAGGGGTGATTCGACTGAAAATTCCGCAACTTTTGAAACGGGGGCAGAGACTAAATAAATTTCCTGCAAAGTTTCCGGAAGGTCCAACAATTGATGATTTCCGAAATGCGAATCATTCAACCGAAATTGTGAGTATACCAGGATTAAATTCTCAAAAAAATTTGGGGTTTATCTGCTGTTTTCCGGAAAATGTTGAAGATGTTGGAAAATTAAAGGTCGGCACACACGGGGGGGACTAGTTCCTACGACTAGTCCCTGCAACTAGTCCCCTGAAGAGTTTAAAGGAAGGGACCGGTCGCAGGGACTTCAAAAATTCAAAACTGGTTTGAATTCGTGGGACTAGTCGCAGCCGGACCAAAGATTGGTCCCTGCGACTAGATTGTGAAGCAAAAATTGCCAGTTCACACGACGGGACTTGTCCCCGCGACTTGTTGCAGGAACCAGTCGCAGGGATTAGTCCCCTCGTGTGTACCGACTTTTTATGTCGGGCCGAGGGTCTCTTGTAGGACCGAAAAATCTGAATAAAATCTGCCTGTATAAAAGCGCTAATGTTAGAATTTGGAGCTATCCCTTGAGTAGGCTCGATTTCCGCCGCTTTCTCGAGTCCGGTCTACGTTCCGGGGGAGGAGCGCGGGCTCTTTTCCCAAACAGCGGCTGGTAATCGAGCCTATCCCTTGAGCTATCCCACATCAATGTCACTTGTGAAATTTTCCGCGAAAAAAGAGCCAATCACAAATTTTGACAAGCCCACGTGATTTACATCAATGTCACTTTTTGTGACTGGATACTCTGGAAATAAAAGGAAAAAATAAGCTCAATTTGAGTTAACCCTCACAAGATGAAAACGTCCCTTGCGCTGCTCTGTTAAATTAAAAACATCAAAACATAAATTTTAAGTTGTAAACAAAGTTTTCATTATTGTTTACCGTGAAATGCAAATTAGTGGGTGGAGCGATGGAAAGCCCTTGCAATGCAACGAGCCAATCAGGGAAAGGCATTAGCAGGCGGTCAGCTAAAAGCCAGGCACGATTTGGTGGGGTTTGGTGGGGTTTGGTGGGGTGATCAGTCTCCATTCAGCTTTTGACAAACAAGTGAAACACCTCAGAGTTTTGTTTGAGAGAACTCCTCAAAAAATCTTCCTTTTACCTCCTTTGTCAGCATTTTTAACGAAAAAAGGTTCGCAACACTTCAGAGGTTTGAGTAAATTTTAGCAGAGAGGTGCAATAAGGTCAGTTATCTTTGTTTTCATTTGCTTTTTTAGGTTTATGGCTGCTAAACACATGTTCCAACCCTTACTTGATATGCCGAATAAAACTTCACTCTCGCTTAAACTGTTTTACTTATTTCTAACCTGTCATAAAACTATTGATTTTCCATTAATTTAAGTATTATCCTTGTTCACAGGAATTTTCAGCCCTGGCGAAGGGAAGGAATTTAGCCCCAGGAAAGTTCGTTCCAGCACAAAGCACGTGGCATTGAAACACCATGTTGCCAACCTTCGCGTTTCTTCCTCCATCAAAACACGTTCTCAGGGTAAGCCTTGTTCTGTTTATCACTAACAGTAGACAAACCGGGCAGGTTTTGGTTTTATTTTCATTCAGTGTTTCGTAAAATTGATCAAGACGTTCCTAAAAGGAGTGTAAGGGTTCATACAGAAATGTCGACGGCGTCTTTACCAAAACGACCTCTTAGAGAAGTTTAGAAACTATAAAGTGTATTTTCCCAACGCGTTTGACTGCGAAGCTCAGTCAGTCAATCCTCTCTAAAGTTCTTTTTGCCTTTATTATTCCGTTTTTCTCGGAATTAAATTCTACCCAAAGTCAGCGAAACGCTGCACATCAAATTTTGGCGGGGAAAGGTTTGAAACAATTTTACGCACCCAAACATACCGTAACTCTCTTTCTGGGCAAACCGTGCAGTTTCAAGTAGACTAAAACGAAATGTTCATTTTACTTTTGGCAAATTACTATTATTATTATCACAGATAGTTTCTTAGTTTGGAATCGGCAACTGAATATTAGGCTGAAAGTTCGACTGCCACGCCAAATATATTCTATAAATTTTGTTTTACGAAATAGCCAGTGTAAAATGTAAAATCTGACAAGTTTCACAACTCAAATTTTATGTGCGAGCAACAAAGTCATTTGTTTCCGATTTGCCCATACGTGTATCTGAAAAATTTTCGCGCGGTCACAAGACGGTTACCGACACATTAATATTTATGGACGTTCAATCTCATTAGCGAAGTATTATAAAAGATAAAAGACGTTTTGCTGTGCATAATTCAAAATGCCGTGTAAATAATTTGCATCTACTTTTTTGTCATGTGAATATTATACTTCGCGCCATGGATGTTCCATTGGGGAGTTTACGAAACCACGACGCCGACGCCGAGGACAACGTCAATTAAAAAATGAATTTATATTTTACCTACGAATGTCGCGATACTCTCAAGTCATTTACTTTGTTTATCACTGTCAAAACTATCGCAAAACTAAATCCGGAACACAGCGATAATTTTGAAATAAAAATTCAAAAAATAAGCCGTCGTGGTTGACGTTCTCCAGACGACGCAAAATTTGGTCATTTCACGTTGTTTTGCAGAGGACGACAAAGAAATGTACCAAGAATTATAACGCACGTGCACAGCCATTGTACTGCTCATTAATTCTTTTGTTCAGTGACGTTCCCGTTGCCGTTGCCGTCGTGGTTTCGTAAACTCCCTATTAACGCAGCGAAAACGTTTTGAAAAAAAAACATTCCAATGCATCGGAAAACGTTGCCAACGCGCTGAAAATATCATAAGGCTTTGAGAAACATTTTCCAACGGATTGAATGCGTTGCAACTAATTTTGAACCCATTTTCTACACGTTTTCTAGCACGTTTTCAACTATTTAATATGCCACGTTTTCTTTTTAAACAAATTGTCACATTTATAAGACGGTGGATTTTTCACTCTTTAATGTCTTAAATTAAAAAGAAAACTATGCACTCGAGAACTACAAAGAAGATATGTGAAACAGTTGCCACATTACATCGAATTTCGAAACCCAAGTAAAACTGCCATAAAAAGTGTGGAACATAACGAAACACTTAGGACTGTGCTGAGCATCTTCGTAAATTTTGTTGCAAAGATCAGGGAAAGACTCCAAACTTAGATTTTTAAAGCTTTAATATGGCACTCGGCTGATCACAACTTTCACATCACCAATAATATCCATTGATAAAATTTGCCATCAAACTTGTTTGAAATAAGCAGTTGATAACAGTGCACGTCTAAAGTTTGAAAAGCTATGCAGTTAAGATGGCAGTAATTTCTATGTGCCCTGATTACTTACACTCCTCGCTTACTAAACTTCCTTGATCATGATAGCCTTATCAGAAGGTTATTTTGTTCTCAAATAACATTCTTTTCTATTTGTTTCAGTCTGACTTCATTTCCTAAGCACCAAGAATCTACTACAGCTGCAGAAATTTGTCCAGGTTCAGGCCAGATCAGCCCAACTTCAAACAGTATGCTCAGCCTCACCCAAGCAAAACCAGACTCTAATGAGAGAGATGATGTTGGTGGTTAGTAAAATTGTGGGCTGGGAGGGGAGGGTACATAGAGCTCTGGATGAACCTTACAAAGCATACGAGCACACACTTTCGGCCAGAAGTCCACGTACTTCTGATTCGGTTTAACTTAAAGTATATAATTTAGTTAACCTTACTAATGGCCCTTGTGGTTGGGGTGGCTCCTCCCTGTTGCCTTTTACTTAATTTGGGTTTCTTTGCAGGTTCTTGGCCAGTGATTCGCATTCGCATTTTTTCCTCCGCTCCGGCTTAATTTCGACTTCATTTCAGCTTATTTTCGGCTTCACTCCGGCGTTTTTTACTTCACCATGGCTTCTTTTCGACTACACTTTGTTTGCTTCACCTTCACTCCAGCTACAATTGACTTTGTGTTCGAGGAATTTCTTCATTGCTGTGGCATTTCAAATTCGTCCCTGCTTAGTTGCGCTTAGGCCAATTTATTCTATTACGTTTCACTTGACAGTCGATTCACTGATAAGTGAGATTTTCTCAGTAAGGTTCAACCAGACATTATAGTAGAACTTATGATTTAGGAAACTAGAAGCCAAGGCCATTCAACCATTGGAAGAGGAAACCAGTCTTGGCAACTCTTTCCAGGCTTGATGACCTTTTCTAGTCATAGTTCAGTTAGCTGAGAAAAAGCAAAGATCAGTTTTTAGGACTCTAAGTACCTACCCTAATGCCTTTCATTCCTGTGACATTTTGACATTTTGGAAAAAGCTTAAAATGTGGGCTGGTAATATTTACCTTTTCCTCCTTAATGAACAAATTCCTTGTTAACATTTGAAAACTCTAAAAGTGAGAGTAAACACAACCACCCCCCCTCTCCCCCGAAAAAAAATCAAAAGGCATTAGGGACATGGGATTATGGGACAATGCACACACATCAAGTTGATCAGTTAATATGTAGGTAGCCATCGAGACCAACTGATGAGGATCATCCATTTGACCTGAGGAGGAGGATGGGTAGTCAGGCAGTTAGAAAGATAGCTTTTGAGTCACAGGCAGTGGGGAGGGGTTTCCCACTATGGCAGTGGTGACACTTAGACATGAACAGTAATGTCTCTGGGTCAATGCTGCCTTGCAGGGGAAATCTCCCCAAGGAAGGCCTCCAATGCATGTTGTGGGTCTTCATAGCATAGACCGTCTACAAATTGTAGGCGCAGGTAGACTTCACATCAGCTACAACCTATGGTTATTGGAAAAGAGAGTGAGGACTGACAATGGCCAGAAGACAGAAGTCCCCTTGGCACTGCTGTGGCACTAAACAGGTTGAAGAAGATCATCACATGATAGGCAGTTTTAGTAGTTAGTGTGGGTAGATAGGAAGCTGCCAATGTGGTGATGAAAGGCAGATAGGCAGATCAAGACAAGAGTGCTAGTAGGCTAAAATAAGTAGATAGGCAGTGTAATCTATAGTAAGATAATAAACAGGACCTGACATTGGATGAAGATCAAGTGGAGGAGTGGAGCATCTGTGCAAGGATGAAAAAGGACAGGACTGAATCCATGCCAATATGTCATTCTGGCCTTCTTTGCACGGGATATGAAAGTTTCAAGAAGCACTGCTATTAAAGCTTCAAGATGTGCATGACTTTTGGTCCGTTTACCCCATGGCTGCTGCAGCCAACATACACAATGAAAGCAATACAGACATACATCAGCATACTTCAGATGAAGTAAACTCTAATGTCTCTCCATACCCGTCAGTCCTAGAGCTAGGATTAAGAAGAAAGGAGCATTACAACCAGGTAGATAGAGTATGATCTGAAGGAAACATTCAGCAAAGAAAAAACAGGATGGCTCTGTGTGGGGATAGTGGAAAACCTGCCCTGAAGTGGCAAAGGATGGCAATGAATGGTGAAAGATTACTCTGGCCAATGTACCTGGCATACACAAACACCTCAACAAGCAATACAGTTGAAGATTTTCATAATCAACAAAAAAAGGTTCATATGAAAACAAGGACTTAGTCCACACTTACAAGTCACTCTTTTCAAGTCACAAGCCTTGCTCCCAGTTAATACTTACAGTTTCTGCTTCTTTTTTCTCTTCTTCCTCTCTTGTCCCTCCCTAGGTGGGCATGATTGGCTTTCTCCCATTCTACTACTAGTCACCCAATGGCAGTGTTCGGCAATATAGCTGATGTAATGTTTCTCTATATTATCAAAAATTTAATATGGATTGGAAAAGTCATGGACAGATCAAGTATGCACCTGAAAAGTTGTATAAATGTTGAGACAAAGGAGAATTAGGAAACTGAAAGAATGACCCTCTGTTTATGCTATTTAGTTATTCCCTTATAGTGCAAATGGAAGTTGTATTCTGTGACACCATTCCTTTCTCAGTCTAGGTACTTCTGCAGCATTTCGCCAACAGCTCTGGACAAAGACACCTCAAAATGGCTTTATTGAAGATTTGCTTTTCAAGGACACCAGAATGATAACCTACAAGTAAATACTATTAGGCTGTGTGGCTTACCTGAAAATATGTGTGACAGCACCCTTGCTACAGACAGTTGGTGCCCCTTAGTCATCCTACACTTTAGAACAGTAAGAGTAGAACAAAATAAATCTGCAGCCAGCTCAGCAGGTTACTTAGAATGATCAGCATGAAGCTGGTCTGGTCTGACTAGGTCCATTACCACTCCTCCGACCATTGATGAACCATGCTCATTATTTTATGAAACGATCTTCCTCAGCACCTCAGACAGGACATTACTTGACAGTTCTCTTGGACCTACTTGGCAGACCTTACTCTCTCAAATACTATTCTTGATCATTCCTAGTTTTCAATACCACACTGTGGATATGACTGATAGATGTTTGCACTCCTGCAGAGAACCAGATATTTACAATGTGATCTTCTACAATCTACCTTGCTTGTTTAAAGCAAATGGACTTCAACTGTTTCAAAAGAGGGGGCAAAATAGAGGGTTGATAAAGTTCTTTAACAAGAAGATTTAATTACAACGGAACACCTTTGTGGCTGACAGTAATTGCCCTTTGGATGACATCACAATGACTCGACAGATGATTTTTCTTGTAAAGCATAGTGATACTAGTTTGCTTCAATTGTAAGGATAGGAAGGTGATTTCCTACACTCAGAACATTCAGCCTAAGCCTGCTTTGTTGAGCTCTTATAAATTGGTCATTAATGATGGCCTTGCTCCAAGATCACTTCTTCCATAAACAGAACAGTCGATGTCTTTTTAGCATTTCAGATACCAGCTGGCTTTTTTACAGCCTCCTTGTTCAGTACCAGCCACCTTGTCACTAATACACGTAGGTCAGTCTGTACTTTCTGCTGGCACCTGTAAATTTGCAGCCTCTGCCTTTCTTACAAGGTTCTCAACTGGCTTTGTTTTGTAAGTGACAAGGTTGTGTACACAACCCTTCTCTGGAAAAAGACTCCAAGTGCATTAACGGCCCAAGTGGCCCATCAGGATGGTGATTATTTCCAGTTTCTGTAGCATGAAGCAACTAGGAGTATTTCTTCTTCCCCTTGGGTGGGATGCTAGTCCATCGTAGGGTTACCCCCAGCATTATTTGCTGGTACCCTAATGTACAACTGGGTGGAGAGAGGCACTGTGAGATTAAAGCATCTTGCCAAAGAACACAACACAATGTCTCCAGCGGGGGCTCAGGGTGATCGCTCATCAACAAAGACCTTTGGCTGGATCTAAAATGGTACAATGTTATCAAGACCTTTCGTAATCTATGAGCAAGTAACTACACTTGTATTAAACCAGGCAGGCAAAGATGAATGGAGTGAGACACTATCAAACAAAGGAAGAGAGTAAATGACAGGGTGATAGGAGCCTTGTACACGGTCTGCATTTTTATACAAGACTACTGGCTCTACAGTACATACTTGACTCTAACCATAGCAAAGGAACTCAGGGGTATTCACTGTCTTGTACTATCCACATTGTAGGTGGTCTTCCAAATCCTACCAAAACTCCTATTCTCTCACGCAAATTTATCAGAGAACAAGTCTATTTTTCCCATTTGATAACGAGATGTTTGATGTGGGCATTACCTTACTTGTTAGGGTAATTTCATGAAAACCTGTGTAAGTCCCTGGGTGAAACAATACCTCTGAGTGGGTTATTCAAACTAGAAACATCCTTCAATCCTTTCCCCCTTTTACTGACTTACCCTTAATAATGCAGAAGTCAAGACATTTCCATTACTAGCTTGGTTATCTCCTTCTTCAGCATTCCAGACAATGTAGAAGATATATATTAGACTCTTCAAGATGACTTCAAAGATAATTTTGTTCAGTTAGGATAACAAACTTATATCCTGGTTGTGGTTGCAGTGAGCCAGGGTAGCTTTCTTCACAAGTGATATAATGGCACATTTGGTCCAGTCACTCTTTATTCCTTTAATACAAATGCTTCTCTACAGGTATCTCAATGGAACACGTCACATCATTCAACTGGATCTTGTGCAAGTGCTTTGGCATTCTGAAGACTATTGGAATACTTCTGAGGATCTCTTCCGTTGAAGGTGGGGTCAGGCGTAATCTCAACAACTTCAAAAGTGTACATTTTCAGCATCTCAGATATCAGCTTACAACTTCAAAGCCTACTTGTTAATGATCTTCAAACACGTTCAATCCAGTATTCTTTCTGTTCCCTCTCAGTTCTTAGTAACACACCTTGCTTGTCAAAAGCACTGCAGGTACACTGTATCTAAACTTTGTGCCAATGTCTACAAATTTTACCTATGATCCTGTAGGCTGCAGCTCTTACCATTCTGCCTGTAGAATCTTCTGTGGCCCCTTACAGATGTTTCACTGAACTACTGTGGATGTAACAATAATGGCAAGCATTGTCTTCAAACCAAGGCCACTGGTTTTCAACAGAGGATCCAGTTATATTGTAGGACTGGTGGAGTCCTGTAGAAGAAGTCTTGGGTGAAATTGAATGTTACAAGATCACCTAAACCTACCACACTGTAGT